CTATCTTGAGAGGGGGTACCATTTGTATCAACTGAACAACAATAATAGATGTTGGTATTACTAGCACCAACTGTACAAATTCAATATCTATCTTGAGAGGGGGTACCATTTGTATCAACTGAACAACAATAATAGATGTTGGTATTACTAGCACCAACTGTACAAATTCAATATCTATCTTGAGAGGGGGTACCATTTGTATCAACTGAACAACAATAATAGATGTTGGTATTACTAGCACCAACTGTACAAATTCAATATCTATCTTGAGAGGGGTACCATTTACTAATATAATTATATATCTCTTCAACGTCTGCACTTCTCAGTGATAACTCTACACCACTTCCATACTAATATTGATTGAAAATACCATCACATATCTTCTACATCTATACCAAATTATGCAGTAATTCTACATCACCTACACACTATTAGCATGTGATGGTCTTATCAGTTCACATCTTCAACATCTGTAAGAAGTAAGATTAATCTTACATTACACTCACACTTGTAACAACAAAGAATGTTAAATCAACGTTTTGAGATAAGAAAATAATATTATTCCTATATTTACTCCTCTTCAGTAACGGATGAAATTAGTACAACACTGGTACAGTTACATCATTTTTACATGATAGTTTTACTACATTACCACAACATGTTTACCAGATGCTTATGGTGTTTTACCAGTCTTTTTAGGTAAGTAGATCGATAGACAGATAACTGAGTTGACAATTCCATATTGACGACGGTGCTACATTGTTTCTAGTTTCATCTGTGTGATCATATACAAACCACTTCCGCAAATGCATCTCCTCCCACCCTCCCTCCCCTCCCTGGAGTTGTGCATTTCCCCTCAACTGTTTCTTTTATCAAGTCTGAGAAACATGATTACTTGATAATAACTGTAAACTGTTTCATATAATGAACCTCAATTATTTTTAGATGCGAAATGAATAAGTAGCATGTTTTAAAAAACCTATTTTCTTTTTTTCTAAACATTTCGTTGCGTTAGGCTTTTCTAGCATCATCAGGTGACAACCTTTGTATAGAATCGTACAACAGTTCAAACTGTTACTTGCATCTACATCACTAATGACTTACGTCATGAAACAATCGTGCAAGATAAAACAACAACAGCAAAGTAAAGAAATTAAAATTAAAACAAATATAAGCGTACACCTACCTATATACTTATTAATGTTAAGTCTTAGTTGTTGTTGTTTTTTTATATAGAGGACTTCATTCATTTTTCTATGATTTCTATTGTTTTCTTTGTAAATGAGTTCATTCTCTGAAAAATTATGTTAAACCACGAGAGGGAGCTTTTAAATGTTCCTTCAATCCTGTTGTAGCTTATTGGTTAGTTACCTGATGTAAGAACTATCGCAGTATTGAAGAAAATAAAAGATGTTGTACGTTTCATAAATATTTTAATATGTTACGACCATGATTTCGCCAATAAAGGCAACATCAAAATTATCCTGGTGTTGCCTTTATTGGCGAAACTACTGTCATAATAAATTGAAATATTTATAAAACATACAGTTGTTTTTGTTTTCCTAAACTCTATAGTTATGTACTGGGAGTTTCAAGTATTAATTGTATAAAACAAAATTATCACAGTCTTTATACTTAATTTGATGCACTGATCCTGATGTGCCATTGTTAACACATTTTTTTTTCTAGAAGCTAGCTTAATATTTTTCCTGGTAGGAAGGAAAGTTTAAATTGAAATTCATATCACACTCTTTAACTGTGTTTTACCATATTTTCTTGATAGATTTTGAAGGTTTAAAGATATACCGTAGCACCCAATAAAATGGCAAGTTTTCTAAATTCCTTCTATTTTTATTTTCGACTTGTAATTCATTTTGAAAAGATAATAAAGTATTATTTACCACTTTGGAAATATACTTATTTTGTGACACAAGCTGTGATTTTAATACATTATTTTCAATTAGAAAAGCCTGTTGAGAGGATCAAATATGTTTACCTGTATGACAAAGAAAACATATAGATTAATGAAACTATTTTTATCTGAAAACAAAAACCTAACATTAATAAACATACTGATGTACCTATATATTTATTCTAATTATTTTCCTTACTTGGGTGTTGTTGGTTTCTACTACATCAATGTTTATGAATATCATTATTGATATTGTATAACGTTGAACGATGTAAGGTAAATCAAACAAAAATTGGTAGTTTTTAAAAGACAGGCTCTAAGATATATTATGTATTTATCTGTCCCTCTGGTAGATCTCTGGATTTCAGAGTTGGCGAGCCGCATTTGAATCCGTGCGATACCAGAAAATATTCCCCGCAGTTTAAGCTTGCGGAGTGTTATAAGTGTGACAGTCAAATCCTTAGCAGGGATGATGGATAGTAGGGTGCTGTGGATTGGTTCCCTTTCCTCTAGTAAGTAATTCAAAATAGGGGACGGCGACAGATAGTCTTAGTAGCTTTGCCATAAATACTCAAAAAACACAAAATAGAAAAAATATTATCCTACATATATTTTATTTAGTTTGATAAGTG